TTAATAGACATGCGCATAAAATATTCGTGATGATTGATGCATTTTATAAGCTTAAATTTTGTTTGTTTTTATTACCTGCCACAGGTTACTGGAAGTGAACGGTAAGGTAGTGTTGTCGATGAAGAACAACCACGATCTGAATCGGCTGCTGGAGGTATCGCCCTCATCCGTGCGAGTGGTGGTCATGCACGACGGACCGTCGGCCCACCACCGGCTGGAGCTCGCGACACTCAGGCGGGAGCTGGACGCTTGCCGGACCCGAGCAGAGGAAATGGACAGGTCAAAACACGCGTACAAGACGGAAAACGTGAGGCTATCGCACAGGGTGTCATACTTGGAGGATCAAGTGTCGGAGCTGATCAAGTGTCGGTCGTCGTCGGCGGCCTCGAACGGTGGCAGCGGTGTGGTGTTCCAGAGGGGCGCCAACTCGGCGGTGATGGTCCGGAGCAAGAGCCCCAAGCACGGCGTGTCGGCCATACAGCAGTACAAGCGCAAACAGGTGGTGTACGACGATCGGCCAGTGGCAGTGCGGGCCCCTGAAGGGGGCCCCGTGGTCAAGACGCGCATCCGGACCGTACCCCGGCTGTACGGCAGTTCGGCATCAGTCGAGTCATTGGTGTCATCGGCCGACGCTGTGGTGGCCGCCTGCAAATCGTTCGACGACCTGCACGGCGTGGCCGCGGCGCACGGCAAACGAAACAAGTATCCGGCAGCTGGTGGCCGGAACAGCAGCAGGACTCGACACATACGTGAGGCCCAGCAGACGTTGTTCCGGTTCCTCGACTCCGAATCGTCCGGCGGAGGTAGCGCTGCCCCGTACTTGCTTCAGCAGTGCGGAAGTGGCAGCCTGAGGTCGCTCGATTTGCAGCATGACGCAGCGGCCGCCGACTCGCACCGGTTAAAGAGCACCGAGTATTACTCACACCTGACGGCGGCCGGGACAACCTCTTCGTCGGCCGCGGGCTCGCCACGACCCAGCCGATCTCTCAATTATGATTCGGAACAGTCAGGCCGACGGGCCCCGATGCCGCCCAAAAAACCGTTGCGGCTGTCGCTGCAGCAGCGACACTGTAGCAGCGGTGCCACGGCCGCCAAAAACGACGTCGAAGACACCGCGACGACGGTCAACGACGACGGCGACGACAGCGACAATGTCGTCGTCAGACTTCGTCACGGACACAACCACCACAATCACCACCGCCGCCGCCGCGACGACAACGACGTCGACCTGTCAGCCATAAACAACACCATGTCGTGAAACCTTCCTCCACCTACTACCTACCTATAAAATATTTTGTGTATACGATTTAAAGTTCTTTTTTGTTTGTTTAATATTAAAGTTAATTTATTTTCCTAATATAATATGAACGTCGATTGAATGTGTATGGTTTCTTCATGTTTGCATTACACATACTGATATACTATAATATACCGATGTCAATATCGGTAGCTCCGAAGTGTAGCGGCTGCAGTTCATAATTTGGCTGAGTAGGTGCTGCAGATAGCTATAATTTATTTGTAAGCTATTAATGGCTTATTTTCAATATCAGAATTTATTAGACAACCACATAACTATAGGACATTTTTTTTTTAGGGGGGATGCCCTAGTATAGAAAATGATAAAATAAACATTTAGTATAAATTTAAAGTATCTACAACTACAACTATTCGTTTTTGAATTACAACACAATGAGAAAATCTTGTATTTAATATTTAAGTCTTTTTAATAAAAAGAAACATTTTTATAAGCTTCCAAGTTCTAACACAAAACAATTTGGAAATCTTTGTGATTTTGACGAATCTTGTTAGGTGAACGCATTTAATGGGCAAAAAAAATAGTAAAAATAATTTACCTGATTACCCGGGTCGCCTACGGTCGCCCAGGGTCATTAGTTATTACTATCCACCGAAAAGCGCCGGATGGGGAACATAATTAGTAGATAATATTATCAATTGCATTAAATTTTTCGCAGAAACAAAATGTGTTGCCGGCGAAATGTATAGGCAAAATAGGTACATCACTGAAGTTTTCATTTTTGTCCATAACTACATTTAAGCTCATTGCAATAATTAGTAAACTCCGTTCGCCACAGAAAGTGATTGGGAGCCATCTAAAACTGGTCGTAGCGAGCCACAAGCACCCAAATCCACACTTAGATCAATTCAAATGAGCCAAATAATCACCTTCTTACGGTTAACGGAATAATGATATATGACAAGAACATAATACATCCAATATTTTACATATTGTCAATTACGAGTAATTTTGAATTCAAGAGTCAATGGCTGTAATTAGTTTATTAAAGAAAGATTATGCTTCAGATATGCTCCGAGTAATAAGAACATAAAAATGTATACAAAAAAGGCAGAGTTAAAATGATGGAAAAAATGGGAGGGGAACGTGGTCACCAGGTTAGGTCCAACGTATTTTAAAAAGCAAAAAAATAAAAAAATTATGCAGTAGAAACGCATACTAAAGACTGCAGTCTACATATAGTAAATATTATTCGTTGGATTTGGAAAAAACGATAGTTATAAATTAGAATATGTATGATCTTATATGAATTTTAACGAGTTTTCTATAATTTAAACTAAAATGTATGTATATTTAATGTATTAGGTTTGTATTAATTATTATTATTCTACGACCAAGACGCCGCGAAACGATAGAGTGTATTTAAGCATTGCGTGCTGAAAAATAAAATGAGCCTATGGCATTGGGTAACGTGCTTCGTGGCATTAAATATTTATTTCAAGCCTACAAATTAAATTTAAGTTCCAAAGTGTATGAAAACAATCTTACTTTAAAAGCTTAACATCGACTGTTCCGGCAAAGTCTGTGAAATGTGTGTTAGGATTGTAGTGTGTTTTTTGTTCATGTCTGCTTTGCTCATTGAAATGTTATAGAATCGTTAATCGACTCCGTCCTCTGCAATGATATTATTCAAAATATTTAAATATATAGAATTCGTAACATGGAACTCTGCTTATAGGCTATTTAGCTACATATTAGTGTCAAGAGTTTATTATTTTTTCCGGCATCAGAGCTCCTCCGGTTAATTCTATAGACATAACATCCTATTTCATATAGCACCAAGGAAGTGTGATTTTGTTATTCATAGCCCCCTTAATAGAAATTTACACAACAGTAACGATTTAATCAGATAGATACCGTCTTTATAGTTTCTTCAAGAAATTATGTAAATATTAATTTGTTGATATCTAAAACATTCAAAATCAAGTTTCTTTAAATAGATCTTTAAAATGTTAAATATAATTTAAGGTCTATTTCAATTCCTACTTAACAGTTACACCTTTAAAAAGTTCCAGTGACAATTCAGAGAAGTGTGTATAACCATATTCAATTATTTGATTAATACGTATTTTTTTGTAAAATATTTCGATAAATTACATTTTTTAATTTTATTATTAGTCATCAAACTAATTTTACCTCCGTAAAGTAATGGTTGTAGAGTTATTGTTGTAATCGTATATAATTCGTATACGATAACATACATTCTAAAGAATTGAACACGTGTTATGATTATAATAACGCATCCATCATCGCTGCAATAATGAAAAAATAAAAACATCTCTTTAATAATACAATTGTATTAAAATAGCACAAATATCAGATGATGGTGTTTTTCGAGATGAGGATCGTAAAAAATAAAGGTTTATTACAACATTTAATTTTATTATTAATTTTGTAATAAGTATTAAAAAAGTATTACCATAATTTTTGATTTAATTAAATTGAGGGTTGATCTTTAGCTTTTTGATCTGTGGCAGTAGAGGCAATGTCATCAACATGTTATGGACAATATCATAAGGGTAGTGTATTACTTTATTGTGAGTGCATAATTCTGTCAATCACATATCCGCATAAAAAAGTTGTTGAAATAGTTATAGATACATGTATTACAATTTGTGATTTACAATATATACAAAATAAAGCACCTACCGTTATCAGTAGGTACTCAAAAATATTAACGTATGCAAGCCGGGATTTAGGTACTTCATGGAGGAATAGAAAATAAAAAAGTGTGAACAATTTTTTTAAAATTTAAATGTTCTTTTTAAAAACAAAAATTACGTTTGGAAATTTGTCCTCTCAATTTGCTAGTGCTACAAGTATTTTTCAATCAATGATGAAACCATTATGGCCAATGGTGCTGATTAGCAATAAGGTGCTGGCCATTCCCATAAAAAAGTTAAATAGAGAAGGATATTTCTTATACCTGTACCTATGTGGCTCAAAAAGAGTTAAAATATTTTTAAAACATTATAGAGAAAGAAAATGGTTATTTTTTGTGAGTTATAACAAAATCACAAAATAGATTTTGTCAAAAAATGCAGGTTGTGCATAAAATTCTCGTTTTCCTTAATTTTTTTTTTCGTTATCATCAACTCTTTAGAAAACTACTGGGGATTTTTGATTTTTACCTCTCAAAAGCGCAGGCGCGTAATTAAGAGGTGTGGTAGGAGCAATTGCCATGTCCCAAAGACCGTATTGTATAGTAACTTGTAACCAATAATTTATAAAAAAAATAAAAAATTGAATTATGATTATAAATTTAAGTAAATAACCCCCCCCCTAAAAAAAAATTAGCTCCTATTTAGCTACATGCAAAAGTGTCGACTAGATTCATTTTCACGATAGAAAAGATATTATAGGCACTGAAGTAGAAAATCGAAGTATTTTTTCGTCTAATCATCGTGTTCAGACACAAAAATATTTTTTAAATAAATACACGTCATTGTAAAATATCAATGAATTCATCGCTGCGGTCAGAATCTAAAAGTAAAGTATACATAATTAAATAATTTGTTTTTGAAAAGGTTTTTTTGAACTTTTTGAAGTACATTGTATAACGCGCGCGCAAAAAATCCAAGAAAACATTCCGTCGATACTGCCAGTGTTGGCAGCACTGCCACGAGTTATCTACCGCGCACGCAGCAGCTGATCTTCCGGCTGTGGCAACCGTTCGCGGAAGAGGTCTGTCGCTCTGTCGGTACGAAAACTTCAAGTGGGGAGAAGAACCATAATATAATACAACAAAAAAAATCAGACATTAACGCACACACACGACCATCCAAGACAAACAACGCGGAAACCGTCGAATATAACCGTCAGCGTGCACGTCTTAAAGTCGTAAATCCCTTATCCAACGAGAATTAAACATGTCTGCCGTCCCAAATTTGGAAGATGAGTACGACGAGTACAACTATGATCAAGACAAATTGGTCAACAGCGGACACAGCGGTAATATTATTACGAACGAAATTATATCATCGATATCTCGGGGATCTTAACACGTTTTTACTAGGTAGTACGTTCTTAACGTGGTTTTTTTTTTCACTTCACAGGTAAGAACAGAAGCAAGAAAGAGGCCAGCGAACACACCAATCATTTCGATCCGAGCGGTCACTCTAGGAAAATCTCTGCTAAATTGCATAACACTGAAGCCAACAAGAAGGATGAGAATTTGAAGCCCCATCCAACGACTAGAAAGTGATGTACAAGAGCGCTTCCTCACCAAATATCAATGTCTTGCTACGGTTTTACTTATATTTTTTTTTTCTTTTTTTTTCCAACAAACTAATTGATTGCTCATCAGAAGCCATCGTTAATAATTGATATTAATTTTAAAAACTAATGTTCAGAAACGTATAGTCTACAATCTTTAATTGTAGATTATCTTTTCTCTCTTAATATATATATTTCTTTTTTCTTTTTTTTTTTAAGATATAATATTATCTATGGATGTTATATTTTTGAAAGGTGTATAAGTAATTGTTTATGACATCATTGCATTTCAATACATATAAGTTGATTGACAATTTTAGTTTTATTATTATTTACCTAACTGTGTGTGCGCTAGAATCTCGCTTATGAATTATGTGTTAAATTTATAATTTGAAGTTATCACTACAAATACAATCAACATTTTACTGTAAACAAAACAATAAACCTCAAGGTCAATTAGGTGACTAGGAATAACAACTTTCATTTTCAAACCGACAATATTATTAAATTATACAGCTGGTGCTTTGTTAACACTATGGTATACATTAAATAACCTTCCATTGAATGACACTTCAGATTTTGAATAATGATGTATACCTTTATTTTATATTGTCAAAAGAAGTGTGCTGAGGTTATAAAACGTGATATGGTAATGTTTGAACTGAAGTACATAATATGATAGTCACAATCAAAGAAGCGTGGATGGTTAGTACTGGTAAACAATTTCAGTTATCTGTGTGGATAGGAAGTTAGGAAGAAATTTATATGTTATAATGAAATTATAATATAAGGTACAAGCATCAAGTTATAGTATATAAAGTCATAAAAACAGTTGAATAACATTTATTTATATATTAATAAATAAAATAAAATACAGCCAAACCACTCAGACACAGTATTTTATAAAAATAAGCAAAAACTAAATAATTAAATATTTGATTTCATGACACATTCTTACATTATAATGTTCTTCTTTGATCTATAATTGGTAAATAATGTTCATAATAAATTAATTGTAAGTGTTAAAAGTTTAAAACGTTATTTACTAGATGCTAACATTAGTTCCATACATTATTAAATTGTATTAGTTATGAATTATGATTGAAATTTGTTTATTTTTTAAGAATAAAGCCAACCGGCTTTAATAAAAGAGTGAAAATAATACAAAATATTATCATAATAAGATAATAACCAATAATATGCAATACAGGTATAACAGTAAACAAATAATAACAATTAAAGAGCTAAGATCAATGTGGTTGTGGCTGAAGGAAGTGGAATGAGTGAGAATATAAAAAAAAGAGTATGATTACAAACATTGTGGGAGGGAACTAACCTAATAATAATACTTAAATATAATACCCTATATTTTTATTTTATTTATATTAATAATACCTACTATTTGATTTCTGATAAAGAACCACCAAACATAGATTCACATAATTTCTCAGATCCTTAACATTTGTTTGTCTTTTTCACATGGCAAAAGAACCATCTTCTTGCAAATTTTCTTTTCAACAAGTAACATTTGATGTTAATCTTACACTAAATTTTAAAGCGATATTTTTCAGAAATTGCTTTAACCCATATGCCTGACTAGCTGAGTATATGAAAGTTCCAAAAAATTGCCATGATTATAGTTTACAAAAATGATACATGATTAAAAGATTAGTCATAAAAGTAATATAAATTATATTCATTAGTGTTATTAACAAACACTAAATGTAAAAATTAAATATGAGGAGAGATAAAATAACATTAAGTTATGCAAATTCATAATACTTGATCCCTAAATAGGGTGATCATAAGATACTCAAATAATAAATTTCTTATATTAAATCAGTCACCTTGTATACTATATAAAATAAATATCCAATATCAATATACGCTATAAAACATTTCCCACATTGTATGGAAACCAGAACTTTGCTAAAATAATGAGGCACTTAACATAAAAAAAAAACAGTGGTTTTGTTATCACAGTGAAACAAAGTTGAAGAAAAAAAAGATCAAAAAGTGTCTCCATAAAAAAAATACCATGAAAGAACCTAAACCACCAACAGAACCTATATCATAGTATCTTCGAATATTCTACAAAGCATTAATTATACAATAAGTAAAATTAAATGTGTGAATTTAGTTTACCATATTTTTTATTATATTTAACAACCTGTACTTCAAGTATTTCATTAGCTTCTTCATAATATGGGCTTAAATATGATGCTGTTTTCATTTTCCATTTGGATAAATTTGGACGATTGACATATGGATTGAAACCAGCCATCCCTAAAGAAATTTTGAAAAGCATATTCAATCAAATAGTCATAATAATCTTCAATCAAATTTTACTTGTTTGTTCGATTTCACAAATAGCAATAATATCAGAAATGGAAATTTCATTTCCACTCAAAAACATTTTATTTTTTAGCCAAACGTTTTCTATGAGGTCTAAAGTTGTGATCATTTTTTTTTCTAATTGGGCAACTCTCTGTTCATTTACAGGTTTTCCATACATAGCTGGCCACAAAACCTGAAATATATATATTTTTACTATCAATTAAATACAAGATGTTTAGGTTAAGCCATACTTTATGTAAATAATAGAGAGCACAATCTGCTCTAGTATTTGTATGCTGCCATTCAAGGTATTCATCTACTTGTGCTTGTTTCACTGAGTCTTTAGGGTACCAGTGATCTGCCACATTATAAGTACGACAAACGTAACGCAGAATTGCTATGCTATAAAATAAAATAATAACCATATTCTTGGTTAAATTCAATACCATTCACTAGATTTATAAAATTATATTTTGACACAAAATTAAATATTAATACAACATGTTAGTTATATTTTAATCAACCAATTATTGTTGATTTTTTTACTTTCAAAATATTTTTTTAGAGAAATTATAATCATTTAAGAAATAACTAAGTAAGATAAGTGATGAACGAAAAAATTTATGTAATTAGCCTGCTTGACATAGCTAGTTTTGAAAAGAGACATTGATGACAAGTTTTTGATCGATTGTAAAATGTCGTAAGGTTATGATGTTACTTAATACTTATAATAAAAATTGAAATACAATAATAATCATAGCAGAAAGTTTTTTGGTAGTATCCAAAAACAATTACTTTTTTATTTTTTTCTCTACCAGAATCCGAGTGTAATGAATATTTTTATGGATACGTAAGCCACAAAAAAAAAATTAAGCTCATAATTATTAGTGGTCTCTATATAATATTAATGTATAAGACCCATACTTAAACTTAATAAGAAACTTTATTTTATCTGTCTTATGAACATAAGCTACAACACTCACACACATAGAGATTGAATAAGTTGGGTATTGCATAAGTGTTTAATAGTTATATTATAGTCTCCTACACATAATTAACTTTAACTGGTGTAACAAAACTACGATAACCAATATATGTGTAGATTTTAATGATATGATACAACAGTAGTATTGTACATCACATCATTCATGTTTAAAACAATACATTTTTTACCTTTCAATAAGAACAAATCCCTTATCGTTGATGACTGGTACCTTTTTAAATGGATTTATGGCCTCAAACTCTGCTGTGAACTGTTCTCCTACAACATACATAATATATTATACGAAATGTTGAAGTAATTAAGAAACGATTATTTAATCATATGATATTCACTCACCTTTCAGTAAATCCACAACCTTTCCTTCGAATGGAATTTCGGCTTTTTTAAAAAACATGTACAATGCTCTGCACGGTTGTGACAATAAATTGTAATAATATGTTAATTTTGCCATGTTATTTGAGTTAAGACTCGAAGAGTCGAAGGCTTTAGAAAGCTAAGAAATAAGAATCTCCGACTGTATTGTAAAAGGATCAAATTTCTAACGAAATGAAAATTATGAAAAGTGGTGGGAAAACGCAATGATAACAGTGTAAGAGTGTAAGACATCGTTGAGACATCGATGGTTTTGGTTCTTATCATAACCTTCAAAAAGATAAAAACTTCCATATGATTATCAGATTTTCATTCCTTCTTAGAAATAGGTGTTTTGAACTAAATCATTCCGCATTCGAAAATTTTCTGCTGCGCAAACGAGTATTCCATTGTTCGTTTTAAAATACATTTTAAATAAGGACGACAAAATGTCGGTTAGGGTGTTCTCCCGCAAGTTTTCTGCTGGCAGGCAATTGCGCGCCGTTATGGAAGAGCAGTTCACTCCCGAAAAACTCAAGTCCTGCACTTCACCTGGTAAGTGGATTTTTAGCTTTACTGTTTGCATACTTTCTAGTTTCTGTATATTGTATTAATTCGCTATGTTTTTTAATTGAATTTTAGAAGTCCTCCAAGGTTTGTCTTTATGGAAGAAAGTGACCTTTTTCATTGGACTACCAGGATGTTTGTTGGCAAGTATTTACTGCATCAACGGACATTTGGAACATGAAAAACACACATCTCGACCAGAGTTTGTGCCATATGAACATTTGCGCATCAGAACTCGGGTATGTATCTGCTTGAATATTAATTATTTGAATACAGTACAACTGCCAATTTTCTGGTGAATGAATTAACGATATTATTTCAATCTTAGTGAACATATTGTTGAGTATTAAGTGTAGTTTGGGGTCGGTTGAACTTTGATCCAGGCTATCGCACACTGATTGACTTTTAAGAAAATGTATACAATTGTTTCCAAATATTTCATGTCAATATCACAGTTTACTAGAATGCAATTTTCGGTTATCACTCATTTCAATAAATAAATGACATTCAAGAATTTCTAGGCATTAAAATATTATTAAATCAAATCATACTAAAACTATTGGTTATAGAATGAAAACAAGGTTAAGTGAATTATTTAATAAATATTTATTTTTATATAGCCAAAGACTTAGGCTCAGCACTTAATAGCCCATTACACGGCTATTAGTTCAAAAAGTATTTTTAAAGTTTATTAACTTCCATGCTTATATGAATAATCTATCAAAAGACTGGAGGACAAATAGTCCAATTTTAAAAAATTCCAAAACAACATTTTCAATATAAAAGTATAAGTCAAGTTCAAAAATCGTATTTTTAAAAAAAATATTATATTTAATTTTTAATTGTTATTTTAAATTTTGTGAATTTTGTGTTTTCAGACTTTTTTTCCGATAGCTAAAAAAATAATCCTTATTTTCTATTAAATTACATAATTGATATTTCTTGTATTTGTACCATGTTTCTTTTCCAAAAATGAATTTTAACATTAATTTTTTTTTCAGCGATTCCCATGGGGAAATGGAGACCAGACTTTGTTCCATAACCCAAAATTGAATGCCACCACTCATGGTTATGAAGAAGATGAATAAATATGAAATGTTAAATGTATTTGTATTATTTATCTGTAGTTATATGATACCAATTTAATAAAGTAAATGCTGGTTCTGTAAAAAAAATAAGTCACTCCACCAACTTATTATGTATATCTAATGAATAAATGAGACCTTTTTGTAGACTTAAATGTTTGATATTTTTAATTTAAGGTCTCTTAACATTTGTTTATGCAAATGTCTAATATCAATCATTTGTCAACTGTCATTACAGTGACGGATTCTATTTTTTTAAACAATTGATTAAATGCTTTATTTTTCAAAATTCAGACAACTTACTAGTTACTAGTAAGTGGTTTGAAATTGTAATCTACTTAGTATTTTATTTTACTATAAAAACAAACATATAAACAACTTTCACTAAGTAGAAGTAGAAAAAGTAAAATTGAGATAATTTACATATAGTTTATTATTTGCTATACATAAATGCCTGTGTTAGAGTTGTACATTTAAATAATCAGATCTAAAAAATTGGCTAATTTTTTTTACTTAATTCACTAACATAACGTTTGTATTCATCGGCAGTTTGTTCGACAACTTGATGTGCTTCTTCATAAAAAGGAGAAAACGTTGATTGAACTCTAGCTATCCATTTGGTTAAATTTGGACGATTAACTAATGGGTCAAAACCTGCGATTCCTAAGTGAAAATGGATAGCATAAATATCACACTATTATAATTTATATTAACTAATTTACTTGGTTGTTCTACTTCACATGCACCGACAAGGTCAGACACAGAAATTTTGTCACCGCACAAAAATGGTTTATCTTTTAACCAAATATTTTCTAATAAATCTAGATTTTCAATCATTCTATTTTCTAGTATTGTAACCTTTTCAGTATTTGCTGCCTGGCCAGTTTTTAACGGCCACAATGCCTTAAGGGGAAAAAATTAATTTGAATAATGATAATTATGTAATAAAATCAACGACTATTACTTTGTGCCGAAAATACTCAGTGCAGTGAGCTCTAGTATTATTATGTTGCCACTCTAAATATTGATCAACGAGAGCCTGCTTTTGGATGTCTTTTGGATACCAATGGTCAGCTACGTTATATGTTCGACACAAGTAACGTAATATTGCAACACTAGAAAAAACAAATAATATTTAATTTGGTTACATAAATTAAAAAACAATATCATAATTCATGATATTATCTTGATAATTATGATATTGCAAATTTGTACTACTCTGTGTCCCTATGTAATATGCAGATGACAAGTTTTAAATCACAAATTTCATTCAATTATAAATTAGATGTTAACCTATTACTGGCAATAAAATAGAATAGGGTATTTTTTTTTTAGAAATAATAACCTTTCTATTAAAACTAATCCCTTGTCGTCAATAAAAGGTACTTTCTTGAATGGATTTAAAATTTCAAATTCTTTAGCGAGTTGATCTCCTATACAAAGAAAAAAAGAAAAATAAGATTTACTAAAATATTATTTTCAATTATGATGTAGGTACCTTGTCTCAAATTTACCGGTTTTGGTTCAAAGGGGATGTTGGTTTTCTTCATAAATATGTACAATGTTCTGCTCGGTTGTGACAAAAAGTCATAATAAAACTTTAATTTAACCATGGTGTTAAAAAATGAAGACCAGCCAATGAACTTGTTGAATCCACCGTCCTGAGTTTCATGAAAAACTAGAACAACTGACACAAAGTGACAAACCTAGATTATTACTATGAATGCAGAATGTTTAATGACTTATAATGATAATAATAAATAATAACAGTTTAATGTTTAATTAAGAGGAGCGTTATGAGATAAATCATTTTTAAAGAAAGTTTTTAAATCATGAATAAATTACCTATTATCACAGATCAAATAAAATGTAATAAAATAGATTTTTTGCTATTACTCAATGATTTGAATTTTGATACACCCAAAATCTATGAACATTCAAGTGATTTTAAATCTGAAGAATTTTCTAATGTCCATGAAAATTGAAAACACGATATATCATCTAGAATCCAGATCTAGACTATAATATATAATATATGTATGTGTGTATTATCTATTTATATATGGTTCAGACAAGGTGGATGGTGATAACCTGAGTAATAATCATGGACAATGGTGATAACTACAGACCAACATTATAATGTAATTGACTGCCGGACTGCCGGAGTTACAGGGGTAACGACACAGTGGGTGGTTGGACGGGGTCCCCCGCAAAAGTGTTATCCAGTGATGGCTTACCACTAAGACTGAAAATCTGAACATTCTGAACTTTAAATGCTTATAATAAAGTTATAAGTTATAACTAATAAACTATTTGTCCGAAATTGATTTTTATTGATTGAAATACTTTGAATAATATTCTGCTAAGGAATATGAAATTAAAAATGCGTGATGTCATTCAAAACAACGGCCGGGCGAAGGGAGACAATATATATGCTTATTACTTATGTTCCGGCTTTAACTATTGATTAAGTAAACTTAATTTAAAAAATGTAAGTTTAAAAATAAAGTTTAAGGTAGGTTAGGTTAGGTTTATACTTTCATTACTTAATCAATGCTTTAACTGACCATCGAGTTTAGAGACTCATAATTTGAAAACTAATGATTTATTCAAATTGATATTATTATTGTAAGTAGAAAGTATTAAAACGTCGATTTACCTAGACTAACAGAAAAAAATTGAAAATTCTTTATAGAATTTCACAAGGGCACGCGGCAATACAGTGGGTACAGCGTTCCGAGTATATGCGTTGAAACGTAAAATCGCAGTTTGGAAGACTATGTTTTTTTTTTAATTTCCTTCTTAATTTGTATACAAACATTTTTAAAAAAAACGATTTTACTCTGGTGGATTTACCCTAACCCAAACAAAATGTATGTGTACTTAGTATTTCAATTATAATTAAAAAATTCACTCAACTTTAGAAGGCGGTAGTCCTCAGGTCAGATAAGGTTCGGTACAGCCCTGTCATTTTTTTAACCAACAATTATAAGTCAAGTCTTGGACCTTTGTTCCCATACTTTTAAATAATCCAGAAAAAATTAACTAAATTCTCGTTATTATCAGAGTAACAGTTGTAATGTCGCAAGATAAAAAGCTTAATGAAATAACCAAATATTAGAAGGACGTGTTTAAGGGTATAACAATAATACGCCAGAGTGAAAAATATTATGCGTAATGCATTGGTATTAACTATTAAATACGTAAGCAAAGAGTAATAATGTTTGATTCACAATAACTCTTCAATCGGACATCGGACTATCGGAGTCGTCGCTCGTCAGACTGTCAGAGTGAGATTGACGAGATACTCGACGATAGTGCCAATAGGCAGGATATAGTGCGTCAGTGTGAAACGTACGATTTCGATGATACGGGTGTCGGTAACAAAAAATAACAAATTTACGTTTTGGGTAAAACCATAGGGTGTATATTATACTCTACGGGTAAGACAATTTAAAAATAACTCTGTAAAAATTCGATATCCATCGTGTACATTATCGTGCTAAGCACAAACCAAGGTGGATATATATACAGATATATATTTTATATATAGATATCCTAGCTGAATTACCGGACGTTGCCCGGAAAAACTCCTTTTGGCATGAATATTGGTGTACGCGCGATGCATGAGATTATTTTTATCGATAAACTTCTCGGAACAATTTTTATTGTTGACCTTCGGACAAAAAAGGATGGGTTGCAGGTAGCTGAAAACTCGCGGGTCGCCACGAGCCATGATGAGCCTATGCGGCTATGCATATATTACAAGCAAAGCGTACATTGTTAGAGAACCCGATGAAAATGCTATTCTACGATTGGGTCTAATCCCAATGAGATAACGACTTCGCTATCAATTATCTGTTATCAGATTCTGTTCTGAAATTTGAATATTGAAACATTTGAAACTTGAAACCGCGGACTAAGATATATCTATTGTTCTATGATCTTAGTCCGTGCTTGAAACGGTTGAAACCCATATTTTGAAATACTTGAGATTTGTTTTACCTGTACCCATACCTTTTTTGTTTGATCTCGTGACAATACAAACTTTTGTTTTTTTCAAATCGGACACCCCCTTTTCCCCTTTACTTTTAATTATTCAGCAGATGTTTTGTTTTGAAAATTCTGATGTATCTAAATCAAAATTCAAACGATTAGTTTTTGAGTTTTGTATCTTTGTGCTTTGTGCACTAAGGATAATATGTCTATGGTAATGGGTTAAGTAGATATGGGGGCTTAGATGATCTGTAAAACTGATCAAGTACAATAAATACCATATCTAATAATATAATATAAAGTTTATATTTTTGTAAAACCATATTTAAAGATTATTATCCTATGTATAAACATTTTAATAACTACTTGTCTACTTATAAGAATTTGTATTTAGATACATCAATACTTTCAAGAAAATTATCTGCTAAATAATTTACAGTAAAAATGAGAGGTTCATATTAACATGTAATTACACAAGAAACCCGTGCCGTGCAGCACAAAACGTATAGGTATAGCCGTATAGTATAGCGATGAATAATTATAATTGTTAATAACTCCACTAAAACGCAACATTTTTGAAAATCCTATCCTATTGCTCGGTGAGAATATGAGAAGAACCTCTATTCCTAATTTCAAGTTCGTATGTTGCGTAGTTTTTGAGTTACAGCGATCAGTGACTGTAAAAGTGGTATTTGGGTTTTATATGTATAGACATCCTGGCACAAACATAAAACTATATATTTCATTTCTTATGACAATTTTGTCATGTCATTTCTGATAATGGTAATACTATAGATTTATCGTTTATGTGACACTGTACAAAACGTTAAAAATCCCTGAATAATTTTTATAAGATACGGGTATACCCTTTATTTTTTTTCAAAAATGTTTATGTACTATACACGGAAGTCTTATACTCATATATGAATTTTTTTCTTTCCCAAATTACATAAATACGATAATGAAACCGGGGGCATGATTCCCATTAAGGGGAGTTTGCCCTCCAAGCCTCACCTTATTTGCGCCTATGCTAATGGGTGTTTTTAACATACTTTTAGTTTTTAATAACGATCGTTACGAACAACGAAGCAAATGAAACAATTTACCAATATACATCATATCAATTATTTTAAATTGTAGATATTCATTTTTCTTCGAATTCTGCTTCTAAATGATTAAATATAAATTAAAAGTTAATATTAATAAAGATAATAAATTTAGTCATGACTCGGGATTTCAATTTATAAATTATTTTTGTTTTTTTTAAAAATGACTAATTTATTAAGCTATTAAGAAAAACAAATAATTTGTTAGTAACTTTCGTATTGTCTGATTTTTTTTTTGAATAAGTGCTTAGTTTGCATTTTGCTTCTCTTCAAAAGTTGACGCCTGCAGGAGCAAAAAACATGCTCCTCTTGCACCAATTCAGCTATACCTAGGTTAATGCGACATGCTCCCGTGCAACAACCTAAGTATTGGCTACTAAAGTCTGTGCATTGTGTAAATTTAATGTATTGATTGAATACATGTTATAAACCTACCATTAATTTTACCGTAGAATCAGGGGGACGGGGGGTGTTGAGGTGGCTATAGCCCCCTCACCATATAAATTCATCAAGCTATGTCTATGAATATTATGATGACTACTGTCTACTGGACATTACTTGCCGTATAATTTATATCGAAATATAAGTAAATGAGTTCATATGGCGTGTGGTTCTATGTGAATCGTGAATTGGGTATGTTTATTATAATATTGTAATGACGTATTACTCGTATTCACGTACATATGAGTTCTTGAATAAGAATCTATAATATATTAGCCATTAGGTATACTTCAATAGATATTCGTATTTCAATATAGCATAAATAAATAATCATATTCGTTACCAGACCAATACACCATACTTGAAAAGCTACAGGAACTATCAGGAACCTCAACCAGGGCATTGGACATGGTAGTTATGTATAGTTACTAGTTACTCGTCACCGTCTTCTTCTTTTGCTGTATAATATCAAAAAAAATTTTGAAATTTTGTTTTTTTAGTTTCATTTTATTAAGACCTTACATCACACTTTGCCAACTGGCCCGGTGTGATACATTTTTTTCAATTATTTACTTAGTTCTGAGCTTTCTTGATGACATGATGTCTTTTTTAATGTCCCACCTTTAGTAGTACCGTGAACTCTGATTATTCATTAGTCAAGACAAATTTACTAAGTAGGTAGTATTACATAACTTATGTACTGTATTAAGGGGTTTGTTGAGTTTTTTAAGTTGGGAGAGCTAAACCACCGATGGCTGCACTTATTGATTTCATTGAAACAATATTTAGTCACTTTCAAAAATTATAACAACTAAATGTCTAAAAATCTTATTGTCTTAAATAATTAGTAACACAGAGAAATAATTAAAATCATTCGCATAAACAACCTTTAGCAAAACTAATTACAATATTTTAGTTTAAATATGGCATTTTTTAGAGTTAGGTGTTTTTTTTAACAAGTTTTCATGAATCCTTCAGAATAAAAACAATCTTTTTATGATAAATATTATAGTATAATATTGTTGTACCAGTCTTTCTCAAAACTTATACTGTTATATTGAATAGAATTTTAAAATCTGAATACAAACTTTTTTTTGTAACAATTAAAAACAACAAAATACAACATAATTTTAACTAATTAAAATTAATATTATTATACATTATTATATGTATATAATCTTGAAATTGAATTCAAACTATTGCCATTAGAATTAAAAATAATTTATTAATTTATTATTTTTGTTACAATACCTACTAATTTATAAATAGTTTTTAAATTTAAATTTACATTAATTCTCAAAGGGTGTAGACGTGTAGCACACATAATTTAAAAATATTATAAACAACTTTAAAATGTAATTCAAAGAATATTTTAATCATACAATTATAATGACAATAAAAATACACCCGGGGCATGGCAGAAACCTACGGGTGCCCCATTCGAAATTCTGCCAAAACAAACACACACGTGTTCCCCCTACCGTTCCAAAAACCTACAAACCATCAATACAAAAATCTACAGTACCTACTAATAGCTAATGGCCACAGTTGCCGGGCTCAGGATCAATTAAAAAAANACATTATTATATGTATATAATCTTGAAATTGAATTCAAACTATTGCCATTTAAATTAAAAAAAAAAAAAAAAAAAAATACAATTTTTAACCTCATGTGTATACCATGTAAAATTTACTCAATAGATTACATGTTATTGACTAGAACATTTCAGTTTAAAGAAAGTAATTTTAGAAAAAAGACTAAAACACAGAAGACAGATCATTGTTAAACCTATACAAATACAATTTGTTCGGTAATAATAATTTAAAGTTTGCTATAAATATAATCAAATTAAAAAAAAATTAATTTGGCATACTTTTATAAAAATGTTAATAATTTTAAATAATTGTCAGAAAACAATTTTAATCTATTATTAAAATAATAACTTATGAAATAATTAACGATCACAAATTGCTGTTTCTAAAATACAAGTCTTAAAATGGTATACGTACAGATTCACAACTAAAATATAATAAGCGTGTAAACTAATATTGAGCTAGTTAAATTGTACTTTTTTACTTTCACAAAATTTTAATATTTCACAATATACATTTAATAAACAAAGTGATTTAATTATTTTAAGTAATACTGGTGTTAGGCAGATCAATAGTTTAATAATAAGTGATATATATCTGGCTGTCATAAAAATAGAAATCCAAATTTTTTCCTGAAGCTAGATGTAGAAGGCATAGTCATCATCCACTTTCTTAGGCCAATCAGTACAACAGATGAAGTCACCAACACTGCACCAATAATACTGAAAATATTAGGTACCTCATTAAAAAATATTATCTGCCACGCAAAAGCAAACACCACATCAACAGTCCTTGCAATAGCAACCAATCCAGCTTCTTCGAGTTGGGCTGCAATGGTTAATAACATTTGTCCAGAAAAACTGAATAAGCCCAAAGCAACTACTAAAATTCTCTCAGTACCACATTTTGGCCAACACAAGTTCCCTGTAGCCCAAGCCATGCTAGTCGTTTGTATTATAGAGTAAGTGGCAAACGTCACCATGATAACGCTGAAATGTAAGTTCTTTAAAGCTCTAAGTAGTATATAAACAATAGCTCCAAAAAATGTAGATAACAAAGCAGCTAATGGACCTAAAAAATTGTATTCTGCAGTCGACTTCCCAAATAAGAAAGGAGGTCTTGTGATCAATAAGACTCCAATCATAGTTAAGAATAATGTGAAGTAATGGAACAGTCCACATGGTTCCTTGAGAAATATTCTGGCAAATATTGCGACTATAACAGGCACGCTGAATACAATTACTGAAGCATCAGCTAAGGGCATGTGTCTGACGGCGTAGAATACGAGAGACAATGAAGTGGCCCCTGCAAACGCACGAAGTAGTAGCATGAGTCGTTGACCTTTTGGAAATGGATTCTGTTTATTGTAGATCAGTATGGGTAATGATGGAATCAATATTCCAACAAAACGAATGGCGGCCAATTCCAATGGGTCCATATTGTTGAGCAATTTAACTATCAATGTACTTAGAGAGAAGAATAAGGATGATATAGCAGCCAACAGTAAACCGAGAATTTTTATTTGTGTTCTAGGGGACGACGTCACATTTGGCGTTATCGGCGAACTTGTTGATGGCGTATCCGACTCGACCACCAAATTTCTGAGTTCTAGTCGTTCAGCCATTTACATGGTTTAAATATTACTCACTTTATAAAACTACTTACACGTTACTTTTTCGAAAGCAGTGTGCTAGAATAGTACCTAACTCTTGATCGGATTAGTTAAACTCTAAGAAAACATGCGATAGTCAAGTAGAGCGGAGATCTCTTAATTTCGGATGAGTAATGTACAAATATTATAAAAACAACAAAAAATGTGCCGAACACCGGATTTTGAATTTGGAAATAGCATTTAGGTAAAAAAAAAATGGGATATTGATTATCACCTTCTGATAATGTAATCACTAAATCCGCGACTGAGTGGATTTGCGATTATAGGTCATAGTATCGAATAATAATAGGTATTACTTTTGTACCACAACATTACCGGTGTCGTAAGTGCAAAAAGTAAAAATAGCCCCCCCCCTAAAAAAAAAAAAAACAAAAATTAAGTGGGTCCCCAAAATAACAAATATATTTTAGTCCGCAGGTAAAACCTTAGTTCATTTCATTAATTTCAAAACATTAAACTGACGTATAGAACATTAGAACGTATAAGTACAATTGTTGTTGATTTATTATTACAAGTCACTTAGAGGCTATTTTTAGAAAAAATGACATTTTATAGTAACATCAATTACCAAACCCTTGTTTACCAACCCTACGCTCTGGGACCTTAATTTAGGGGCCCCAACAAAATATCGGAGTATAGCCCCCCTAAGTCTTAGATGATCTAAGATTGGTCTAGTGTCTTTAAAAAATAAAAAAAGATAATTATTCTTTAGTGTCACGGATAATATAATTTTATATTATCTGTTAGTCATAGTGCCTATTATTTACTAACATACTTACTATACAACGTATACATAACAATAATTATAGACATACCCAGGCTCTTTCCCAAGTGGGGGAGGAGAGGTTGTGGGGTTCTCACGGTTAGAAAAAAATGTAAATTGTGTTTTTTGAATTATCATATTACAATTTACAATTGCAATAATATAGTATAACATTGAATTTGTAGTTTTAGTACAACGATTAGGTATTTGTATTTCATAGTATTGATATAAACATGTTTCATATAGGAACTTACAAAATTAATAAAATATCCTATTCCTATATAATACTATTTAAGATTGAAACCAATTTAATTTGAAAAAATTAAGTCTTCAAAAATGTTTTTCTTAGTTTAGGTAATTTACTTTTATGAGTATTACATTAAGGCCCCAAGCCTCCAAATTATTGCTCTCAGTTTCACTACACTGAATATTATGCTATTCAGCCATTTTATGGTCAATTGTCAAAACATTGAAACAGTGGCGTACCTATTCTGTAACCAAGAGGATTGTCATATCAATTTAGGTATTAGTGTATTACATGAATTAAATTTTATAGGAATATTAATTATGCTTAATTATGCTTATTTAAATTTCATCTATTCCGTGGTTATTCTCATTCAGACACAGGGTTGCCACCTTTTTGTTTTTAAAATAAAGTACATCATGACTTATGGAAATTTTTTTGCACACAAAATAAATTGTGAAAATACTGAACAAAACCATTAATGAGTAAAGTACAGAACAAAAAAAAAAATAATTATTTAAACAATAAAAAAATGTGAATTTATTAATATCATACAAACATCATAGAATTAAAACATAGTATTAAGAACTAAGCTTTTTAACAAACTTATAACAATATTTTATTATTACATTATTTCTATAAATATATTATAAATTATTTTTATTAACAATATTTTTAAATGTATACTTTTTATTACTTTTAGCAGCTTTTAGTAATTTTTCATCTTTTAAAAAAGTATCATAAATTTCAGTGCATATTTCTTTAACATTAAAAGTGATAATTAATTCATATTTGATAAGTTCAAGCCTACACTTATTTCTTTCATCTCTATATTTTAAGTTCATCATAGAAAATACTCTCTCTCAGTAACTTGATGTTGCAGGAATACTATATATAAAACTAACAACTTTGTAAATATTTTTAAGATGAAAGTTATTATTTTCAAGATTTGCAATTTTAAATAAACTTTGCCATTTATTACATGAATTTGAATTAGTTTCTTTTAATAATGGTAACATTTCATTTATTCTATTGCATTCGTCATACAGTTCATTCATATTCTGATATTCAAAAAAAGTTTATTTTCTAATTTAAGCTCACTAATCAAATATAACAATTCAGAATATTTAAGTTCACTTGAAAGGTTAACACATTTTACTTGTCTTAACCAATTTAAATCTGAGAAATCAAACCATTTATTCAAGTAATTAATTGCATTGTTCAAAAAGTTTAAAAAATCATTAATAAGAATATCTTTGTTTGTTGACATTTCAATAAGTTGGTTTGTGTGAAAGCCAAAAATTGTATCTTTTATTCGTATTTCTAAAGATTTTTTCAATGAATTCATCGCATCATAAACTACCATAACTGATATGTTATTCCCTTGTAATTTATTAATGTATTCATTGAATAAGGGCAAAATATGACTTAAAAAGAAAAAGTATATTTCTATGTCAGTTTTTATTGTCACTTGATCATCACTAAAAAGTATTTTTAATATTAAAGGCGGGCATTTTTCCAAGGATAAGAAATAGGATTTAATTGGTTCCCAATTTTTTAGAATCATTTCTATGGCAGGCAGTAAAGATAACCATCTAGTCACTACATGTTTCTTTAGTTCAGACCATTCACAGTTCAAAAATGTAAAAAAATCTTTTAATGTTTCACGTCTTACAGAAGATTGAGAAAAATGAGCATATATTTTTAAAATTACATTTTCTATATCAAATGATATAAAATTCATTGCATATCTTACAGAGTTGTGAATAATATGTGCATGACAGTTTGCTTTTATTAAATTAGGAATTTCTTTTTTTAAGTTAGTATATAACGAATGATTTTTTCCAAAATTACAATTAGTATTATCAGCACTTAATGCAGAGACTTTATGCAAAGATAATTTGAGGTTTTCAAAAGATTTTTTTATATATGAAGACATTTCATCTGCCGTTTCATGTGGATTTTCATAAAAATCAATTTATTTATTTTCAATGCCATTTTCAATACTGAAATATTGGACACTGAGAGGAAAAAGCTTTACATTTTTTTTGTTGCTAGCATCAGTTTGAATAGAAAAAGCAATAACACTTTCACTATTTAAATAATCAATTATTTTATGGAGATAAGCTGGCCCTTATAATACTAAAATAATACAAAAATACTAAGAATAATAATAAAATTGATTAATATTAATTGTAATATTGAATACTATTACTTCTAAAACAATAATATTATACAATTTATTTGCGCCCCCACAATATCTATATTCCGTGTTAAGAATAATTGATGAACTATTTTCCTCAAGTAAATATTATAGGAAATAAAGTATTTTAGCGTACTTTATTAAGACTACAAAGTCCAAAGTACAGAAGTGAAAAAAAAAGTACAATACTTTAAAAAATAGTACGGGTGGCAACCCTGTTCAGACATCTTAATCCTCCAAGGCTTTATTACATTGTCTTCATATTCCATGTGACCGTATGATATGTGTTTAAAATGTTTTTGCTATTCATAAAATTAAAATAATATTGTTCAGGTAAAGTGATTTTACAAGTCAATAATAACAACCTAACCCACTGCTCAATAGTTGAATATATTCAATTACTTGTATATTGTAAACGGGTTGACCACACCTTCGTCCATCTTTAGTTTCGCCTAGCAGAGGAACTAATGAATTTTTTTAAAGTTCTATGGTGATCAGTAGTAGAATTGGTAAGATAACGGTTCAACATAAATTTTAAATATGTTATAAATTATTAAATGAGAAATAAGGATGGGAATCAACCTAGAAGTTGAACCGTTGTAGATGTTTCAGTGAAGTACTTAGGTTATCAATAATTACTCAGCCCAGTTGTAAAAATTACAGTAGGCTGGTCACTTGACTTTGAGACATAAGCATCAGTTTTATTCTAAACAGAGTTTTTTTCAGATCACTATAGTCCAATGATTTTATTAAACAAGTAGAAGGAAAAATTAATGGTCATCCCCTTTCTAGGTATTACCACCTGACACCTATAGTGACTAGTTAGTTTTATAATAGATTTTAGATGTTATTTTTAACTAATGCACATAAAATTAGTAGACAGGTATAAATTTAACTCAAACATTTAAAAGCAAATATTACATTACTAAACAACATACCTCAAATCACTCAGGTCTTTTCAGCTCACAATAAATAACCTTGTTAGCTATTGCATTCTTTGGGGGAACATGGACTTGACAATTTAATCCAATTGTAATCTTATTTTATACAACTATGTAACACATACTTAAAATAATATGTAGGTATATACAAACCTAAAGGTAAAAATGATTTATTAAGTGACCCGCAGTATTTATATATTGAAGTACCTACTTATTACTTAAATTGTGGTGTATGTTAGTGGGCCTTGACCCATGTTATAAAAAAAATAATTATGATAATGATAATGACCACATGAGACGCATCTTATTTTTGTTAATGGGAAACAGATAACAGTGGCATTTGGATATTTTTAATGACAATTTTACTACTGATTTAAATAATATCTGAAACAGTATGATAACATTTCACTTACATTTTTCTTTTTTTCTCTGAATAAAATAAGGTAAATAAAAATAGCATGGAAACTTGATAGTTTTTAAATAAATATATTGCTTAAAAATTAAGGAAAAAAAATCATTAATGTGGTATTCTAAAAAAAATTACCAAAATATGCAAAAATAAGTAATAAAAAATCACATATTATATGAATTCATTAGGTTATGGGACAGATTTTTAGCTCATCAAGCTATCAATAAAAGATATGGACAGAAATATGCAATTTCTATACTCGTGCCACTAAAAGAGCGCTACTTCAAATGACAGAGCTCTGCATTTTTGTAACTAAATTTTTCCCACTCTAATACCTGCGATCGGGTGAGTTTTGGTCGCAGCCCAGTAGCACTCTCTCAGCGGCACAAGTGTACAACTTATCATCCCTACTCATGACTTTTAAATGTTGAAACATTTTCAAGTTTCCATAAAATGTTATTTAATTGTTTCATTATATATTTTAAGAGTAACACTTTTGATGATGCCAAATTTGAATTATTTACTTAACATTTTTTAATTAAGTATTATACATTGTGTTTTACTGTGTTTGTTCTCAGGAGATGAGTATCTACTGTCTCCTGCATGAACCTCAAGGCTTTCATAACTGTTTCAATACTTAATGGAAATGACTAATTTAGCATTTTAAGCATTAAATATAAATATTATAGTTTTATAATTTGGTTATCTTCGATATTTAAAAATAACAAAAATAATAAATTCAATTATCATATTTTGAGTTTATATAAAACAAAAAAACATTATACATTATATTAAATGAGGCTTTCTTACATAGAAATAATTTTTCAAAATCATAACTAAAAATTAATTAATTAGGAAAGCAAATATTTTTGAAGACAAACATGAATAGATAAATATAGAGTAATATAAAATACTCATATGATCATCAAATAACTATTTGTGGTAGATCCTTGGATAGTTACAATGAACATAGTAGTTATATAAAATAGTAGTTTCATGATATTGGTATATTGTTACTCGTACATAACAAAAATAATGAATTTTATGGCTCACAAGTTCCTCCTTGCAATACTCAATATTTATTATTTAATAATATTTTGATATCATTTAACTAACTTACACAAATAAAGATTAATTTTAAATCATAAGTTTATATAATAAACATTTGTTAAAATAAATATTTAAGTTCTATGATCTTAGAACTTAGGGCATTAAGTATAAAATGTAAAGAATTAAACACATTTAATAGTATTTAGTCTTCATATTTGTTTTTTTACCGTACTACTACCAGAATAATGATTTTTATAGTTAACAATATCACCGAGATCATGTTGTTTGAATTTTTCTGAGACCAAGTTAATTAAGCAGCTGTAACGTAAAGCAGAAACATCCAAATGGTCTTCCTTTAAAATATAAAATACAAAATTACTAAATATGACTTTAGTATAGATGACATTCCACTTACAATTTCTGCCCGGGCATTAATAAAACACTGGGTAAGTATACGCATGTCTGATAACAGAGTTTCACTCGGATCACTATCCATACTAGCATATACAGAAAATGTCCAAGAAGTTACATCACTAGTGTTTATTATTTTTTTCATAATCCATTGAACAAAGTTAGATATAACAGCAGCACAGTGGCTCTAAACAAAATGGAATTTATAGTGTTCAAATATTTTACTAGCTTTTGATATTGATAACAAGTGTATAATATTTATTTATTGTTAAAGAATATTTTTTTTTTAATTACCTGAAAAAAATAAACACTTTTGTCAATATTATGAACAGGATTCACAGGAGTAGAAGCATTAATTTGTCTTCCAAATAAAAATGTAAACCAAGCAGTTGGTGAATTAGATATTGGCTGAAAATTATTGAATTCGTTTTTATTATTCACAAATAAATATACACTGTAATTTTTAATTTATATTAAATATAATATAGACACATAACATACCAATATATTTTCAGGATGAGTAATACATTTCCGGGTATCCTGAATTTTAATTCTGGCATTATCATACTGTTCAATGTATGACATTATTTCGGCTTTAGTCGGCAGTAATTTCTTATTTTTTATACAAGGCAATTCAAGTTGAGGCTGAAAAAAAATTATCATAGTTATTTTGATTTTAATAATGATTTCTTAAGATAATAAATTATTACTCAATAACAAATTACAAAATTAGTTCTAAGTAAATTAATAAGATAAAATTATCAGTTTGATGTTTATGAAGCATCAGAATATTAAAATAATAAGTCTTTCATATAAATATATAGTGGCTTTTTTCTATACTTTAATCAATAAATACAATAAGGTTAAATTTTTAAATATTTGGTCAAGCTTTTTTTAGTGTGTATTGTAAGTGGAATATTTTGGTCGAAGAATCAAGTGGGGATTGGATCCAGTTAATACATGGAGCAGTTTCATCTGGAAAATGAATATGCATACTTAATATTTAGGTAACTTTGAAAATTCAATTAGACCAATAATTAGATAATTATGTATACTGTGCATTGTGGCAGGGAATGCAATTTTTTGAGAATCTTGGCCTAAGATTTTGTTGTGCCAGTGGTAAATAGCTAAAATCTGTTGTTAATATGGAAAATATCAAGTGCTGTAGTAATTGTGTAAACATCTGTTAATGTAGGGGAAATAACGTCATGAGTCTGTGCTTTTGGGCAGTGGTAGAACCACCTGGCGAGTTAAAAGTTTGACACAAAGCAAGGTATTGTTTATTTTTTCTGCATCGTTGAAAAATATAAATTTACATATTACTGATCAATATGTTTGATTGAATATAAAAATATTATAATTAAGTTCTAAAGTAATGTTTATTTTGAATTGTTTACTTATTTGTTCAAGTTGTTAGTATTAATCAAGTAGTTAAATGACAAAATATATCTCAATACTAACTATTACATATGTAGGAGCATTGTTTTCAAATTTGTTTATAAATTCCTGAAGTTCAACATTAGTGGCAGTCATAACTGGAGGCAATTTATCTTCCATTTTTCTATAAACAAATTAATATACTTAACCAAAATGTCTTGAAGAAAAAACTGTATAAAATAATCAAATAGATAACACATTTTATACCTAGCCATGTAAAGATATTCATGTCCATTTTGAGGATTATCAATTTGGTCAACTCGACGAATTTGATTTCGGTCAATTGGCAATCTATATGGTCTACCAGTTAAGTCATCACTGAAATTTAAAAATTATTTATAAGTTTAAGTTTATTTTGAAAAAGTATAACATGAAATATTACAGAGACGAATGGCGTTTCAATTTTGATGCTTTTCCACTTCTTCGACCCATGTTTTTTTTTATGAAAACGATTTCCTACTTCAATAGTTTTTATAACAAATCGCACAATGTCTTATGGCAATGGCATTTGTGTGCACATTTCTATAGTTATCGTAATTGTATAATCTCGTTTGGTTGTATGTATTTGACCAAGCTGACTCGAAATAAAATTTTCTCAAAGTACCTTTAACACTGTTCAAATAAAAATTACAGATCAACGTAAACATGTAAACAACTTAATTTAGAATAATTCAGATACCAAAACGTCTAAAACCACAGGATAGATAAAACCCATTGTTATATTACTATCAAAATTAAAAGAAGATAAAAACAAATTTGTGATAACAATACAGTGTTTCATTTTTATAGAAGAGCACACTATTCTCGTTCAACAAGTCATTGAATTAAAACCGCCGAAACTCGCCAGCACAATTTAAGTGGCTGCTACGTCGAGTCTACTACTATAATAATAAATAACAATTTATAGTAAAAAAATTGTTATTCTGACGATGATTATCGCAGATGTCTATATTTTTTGTATAATATTGTAGGTACTATACAGAAATCTGTGTAATACATGCAAGGCCCCTGGGCCCCAGAAACATAACTAAATCCATATAGTCTGTGCGGCTATTCCTCGAAGATTTTAATTATTTAAGTTTTACATTAATGACACGAATTAAATTTAAAAAATAGATTTAATAAATGTTATCTAATCTGTGCTAAAATTGTAGTGTTTCAGTTCACTTTATCGCAGACTTGTTATTACTGTACATTGTACAACATACTCAATAATTATTTAGGTAGGTTATTAGCACGAATCATATCGAATGGCTCATAAATATAGCCCAACACTGACTCATATTAAAAACTAGACCTAGTGGACTTGACCCGGTCCTCCTTTGAGACTCGGGCCCTAGGACTACAGGCCCGACTGCAACTCCTTCTCGTCGGGCCTGAATATATGTTATAATAGAACATTACTGCAATATTTAGGTAATATTTAGTATTTAGACATTTAGTATTCCATCTCATGTTAAAGGTGTACTTACCTAATATTGAAGGAGTAAAAAATTTAAAAGTAAATAATAAAGATCATATTGTGTAATAAATTGAGCTCAGTTTTCAATGCAAGTGCTTATTTTTTCAGATTCTCGGGCACCAGTGGAGTAGGTATATTTTATGATACACAATTTGGTGGATATTGAGTGAGTAATAATGATTTACCAAACGACGACTCATTAGAGTAAAAAATATTTGTTTTTAAATGCAATGACTCATTTTATAATAAATAATTATTAATCACCCAACTTATAACAAAAATTGAAAACCACTTTTAAAATATCGAAAATTTAAAATACCAATAAGTAGCACACAAAAAGCAGAAATATTTTGAACTATATTTCATGTACTATATTAATTATTCGATGAAAATTAAGTCTACAATTGGAGATTCATTTTGGAGTTACAACAAAAAAAAAAATTGATTTTGTGAATAATTTGGTTTTGCGTAGTGAAATTCCAGTTTTTTCCCAAGTTATTTGATTGTTTTTCCGGATTGTTTTTAATTGCACTAAATTTTTTTTTTTTTCCCCTGGTTTCCAACTACATATTTAATCTGTTACAAGTACCAATTCTTGAAATAAAAGTACAAACAGACATATTTTTTTAAATAATTGGACAAATTATAATTTGGGCATCAGCCAAAAATTAACGAAAAAAAAAATTGAAATATAAACGTGACTCTCTAATTGAATATAGCAGGTGATGTGTCTTATGAATTTTGTAGTAGCTATTGGATAACACGGGGATGAGTTATTTCCAGTTTTTTAATATTTTCAGTTATCGACTGGGCATTGCAGAGTGCAGACTGAAGCTGCCATTGCTATTGCCTCCGTCCGAACACGTCTCCCATAGAAAAGAGGTCACGCCACACCCGAAGTGTCAGTCCATCTCAGAAAGTTGGACCGAACACGTTTTGGTCTTTGGCTGGTCACTGTCCTACTCTTCGTCCGTTATCGGATGTCGAACGCTCGTCACGTGATGCACACCTGGTGCAGTTGCACACTTGCTGCAGAGGAGCATCTCCTCTGCCTTCTGGAGTTCTACGCCATTCTTAGCCACTGCTACAGTTTATGTCCTCGAGTCCGCTGTTCTCCGTCCGTTTCGAGTTCACACCGCTATGTTTCCCAAGCCATTGACTTCTTTCAGTGGTTCTCGTGGCCACCGTCAACTGTTGAGCAACACATTTCTGCAGTGTCGTGCACTTTGAACTTTTTCGCTCCAATACAATGAGAGCGACGTGCAGTTTGACGTCTTTATGCCTTTGCGATCGGCGGCGTACTGTTGCAGGCCCGATTGGGCTCTCCCTTCGATGTCTCCGAAACTGCATCGTTGTTACCTTTCTGGCTGTTTATTGAAACCCGTTTTTTGACTTAATTCTTAAGAATTTAAAGTACCTTCCTAGCTGTTCATATTTGTTTAACCTAAGCTTAGATTAATCAACTTTATACCATTTGCATTAATTTTAAAAATAAATATTGTGTCTGGAATTATTGTTTGGAATACATTATTTGGCTGGATATCTCATTACCAGCATTACAAAACACTATTTCAAAATAAAGCATCGTTGATTTACGGTTGGTTTTCTATATAATATCTCTGAAAAATAAAAATAAATACATCTAAATTACTTACAAATCATATACAATAGAACCTGCTATCCGTTTGGGTCTATTAACTTCCTTATTCAGTAGGCATACTATATAAGGATGCCAATTAAGAGGTCGTAATATTTCTTTTGTTATTTTATCAATTGGAATAATATCTTAACATTGGAAAAACATTGAAATATAAAATATAATACTTAATACATTAGATAGGTACTTTAATTTGATTATAATTACTCGTGTGTATTATTAAAATTTTTATTCCTGAAAAATTTAAATATTTAGTTGTTTAACGAGTTTATTAATCGTAAAAAATTTCTTTAAAAAATATACTAGGTTAAATTTTGAAAACAATAAATTTAGGTAGCTATAATTCCCATTGGTTTATGAATTTATGATCAAAGCTACTCGGAAATCGAATAGACGTTTGATTATACCATATTACCATGTATAAATTGGGAAATCCGACCTTACACAGAACGGTTGTACCCAGTGCCGCAACTAAGGTTAATAGGGCCGAGGTGCAATACCAAATAATAGGGCCCCTTACTTACCAATATTTTACAACATTTTTTCATGAAAAATATATTTATATATGTAAACGTTAAGTATCCACCACAATTTAAATTTATTTTTAACTAAAAAAATACAAATTTACATTAGATAAAACATTTACATTACAAAAATAATAACATATTATTTATAATATTAAAATTACTTTAAAAAATTTTTTTTTCTGCTTTTTTGATTGGCAAAGTCAATAATTAATTTTTCTACATCAAGTTCTTCAGTGCGAGCTCTTTCTATATTTAATATACTTATGTTTGTTAGTTGGTCTTGAGATATCGAGTTTCTTAAATAGTTTTTAATCAGTTTAAGTTTAGAAAATGACCGTTCGGCCGATGCTACAGTCACTGGTAAACTTAAAAATATAATACAAGATGTAACAACTTCACTATACAAAGATGATAGGTCGTTTTCTATTAAATATAAACATAATTCTTTAATTGTTTTCATATCAGTGTTTTTTATAAATTCCTTTAAAGATAGAACTTGACTAGTTAAATCGGAAGTTACGTCAGTTTTGTAAAACTGAATAAAATCATAGCATGATTTTACTATTTCTGCTTCATTTAATTTTATTATATTTGGTGGCAATAAAAAATTAAAAGTATTTGATACTACTTTAAGTCCTTTAAAACGATCTTCGAGTTGAAATAAAGCAGTATCAACTAATGATAAAAAAGTGTCTGCTAGATTTCATAGTTTCATTTTCATCACTAAAAATTATGTCCGAAGGAAAGTTTATTGACGGTTTGCAAGGACCATATGATAGAATTTGTTTTTTCAAATTAGAACTGATTGTGATATTTTGAAAATGTCCTCTATCTGTTGGAAACTCCAACTTTAAATCCAATTCACCAACTAATCATATGCAAAATAAAAAAAAAAATTTTTAAATTTCTAGAATAGGTACTATAATAATTTTAACTAATTGATATATTCCTGGTTTATTAAAAATAAACTATTACTGATTCTGCTTTAACTGGTAACATGATTGTTGCAACAGAACATAATATATATTTTATTTATAGAGTATAGACATTAGACACATATTATTATCTATATTATTTTCTAATTTACTATGTAATAATTTTAAGTCTTTTTCAATTATTTAAAGAGGGCCCCTTCGGGGCCCTCTAAATTCTCTGCTGGGGGTGCAATGCACCCCCTGCACCCCCGGTAGTTGCGGCACTGGTTGTACCTTGTACGAGTAAGGTGAAGTATTTATTATTATATATAAAAACGCATATCTGTAGCTACGCAGCGCTACAGAACGTTTGTTTTTAATAAATTGTTTTTATCTTCGTCGCCAGCAACTCATTAGCTATATTATTATCTTGCATGTATTTAACCAAATCCATCTTCTTAAATATAGCGATCATTGAATGGAAAAAGCTGAACATTTTAGGGTATTATCCAGACATAAATTCTAAATTGTTAAGATCATTGTTTAGAGGTTTTAAAAATATTTTAAAAGATCTATGATTTATTACTTTTGAATGATATAGACTATAGAGTACAAGGTTCATGTTTAAAGGTATATTTTCATTATCAAATTGAGTTAACCATGAGTCCACGAAAGCACAACGGACAATTTAGTTTATCTAGAGTAAACCATGTTATATATATATTTACCCATTTATTATATTTTCAATGTAGACACACTCCACATTAATCTTATTTCTCTTTACAATAATACCTGTTTCATTATCCAACCTTATACTAGATAGAGTGAATGGATTAACCGATTAAAGTGAATTATTTTTCATTTAGAGCAACAATAAATTCATGAATTCACTAAACATTTTTATCCAAACCAACAATGATCAAATTTTAAAATCAACTTTAAGCCTGTAATTGGGAAGGAAAATGTTAAATTAATTATTAGTTCTTGAGTGAATGTATACATTATAAAATATAATATTCAATTGTAAAATATGTATTTTAAATTTGTATGTATATTATATTGTGTGTGTATACATTTTAATTAATTGAATTTAATTTGCAGGAACATAATAACAGCTATATAAATTATAAAATATATTACACAAAATGTGCACACCTTCTATAAGAAACTGCAAATTATGCATGTTATACACATCGTACAATTATCATTTGGTGTGCAATTGTTTTGTAATTTTATCAGGTAAAATGGGATCGATGCGAAATCATGTTGTAATTTTCGACGGCCCAAAAAAGGGAAAAGTGCGCAATCGTGTTGCAGCAGTTTACTACACTATTACAGGTAACACCAGTTGTCATGTTACATGTAATATTCCAAAATCAATAATTTTAAAATTTAGAATTTTCCAAAATCGTATTTTAATTCAAATTTTTGATTTATTTTATAATCACATTGGAAGTCCATTGGAGGAAGTAATGCGGAAATAGAGGAGCTAATAAATCAAAAAAATAACATTTTTAGTCATGGAAAAATTAAATATCAAAGTGAATATAATATTCTACCCGTATTATGATCTATTGGTAAGTATTAATTGTTTAAATCGGGTTAAAAAAAAATTTTGGTAAGTACTGCAGTTATAATTATCACAAGTTCTAAAATCGTTTCATACCTATTTAATAAATATGTAAAAATAAAAATTGGAAAGTATTTTTGTAGGTAAAAACTAAAAAATTAATTCTTGTGTAATATATTTTAATACAAATAAGTGTTGGTGCTATACATATGAGACAAGCCAATGGCCATACAATCGTGTTCAGTTAGATAGCTAGATCGACTAGGGAAAAGAAAACCAACGAATTGGAACCCAAGTGATAAAATGTGGAGCTCAGCAACAATAATTTGGTACAATCAAAACGTCACTACGAAACTGCTAGGATACTCAATTGTTTTCTTTACCCGAAAAATGACCATTGTATACATTATTATGTAATGAATATTAAATATTTTAAATCGTATTGTATGAAAATTTGAAATATTAATATTATTAATGATTAATAATTATTTTAATTAGTAATTACATTAATGTGTTCGGACTACGAAAATGTGTATCGTGTATGATAACGCCAACCGAATTATAGTACACCTACCTGTCTATAAAAAAATAAACTTACTTTTCAAATTTAAATTGTAACCATTATTATAAATATTTATATTGATCTATTAATTCGATGAAGGGCACTGGGAAGCCAAATACTAATACGATTACAAGTGTACAATCCAATTTGCAATGTAGAACATCGTTGTAAATCCCCCCCGAAATACACTCCTTTCTTCCTTTTCATACGGGAGTCACGTAGTATGTAGACAATTTTACTAGAAATGTTGTTGTAGTGGAAAAATCGTTTGTTTTCTAATAATATTAAAACAAACAAAAACTTGAAGATATAATAAGAAACAATGATTGTATGTGTACAATAAAGATTTAAATCTTTAAATAAACATTTCAACTAATAACAAGTGTTTATTATTTTTTTTATTTCAGATTTGGTGGTTTGTTTTTTTATTAAATAGAGTGCTCGCGTTGCCGGTATGTACCAATCAACCAAACATAAAAGATTATGCGGTACTAAGTGCGCTTTTACCACTGCATTCCGGCGAAGATTGTTCCGAAACACAAATTAGAGGTATACAGCAGTTGGCTGCTCTGGAATACGGACTCAGCAAAGTAAATGCAGATCTCAGTCAATATGGAGATTTGAAAATCAGTAAGTACAATAATTATATGCCTATAATATTATGTATTATTAATATGTTTTTGTAAATATCCGAATTGTCAGGCTTACAGATTTTAGACACTTGTTCTAATTCGAATAGAGCCGTAAAAGCCACAATGAAGGGACTGGTTTCTGCCGAGCAAACTTGCATTAAATCTCCGTTGTTTTTAGGTTTGGCATTAACATATTTTATTTTTATTTTAGGGCAGTGGTGTCATTTGGATAGGGTGGACCTATATTGCGTTCGCTGTCATGTGAACATGTGGTTTTATATACAATATGATTAAATTGACTACCTTTATGGCTATATGGTTCAATAACCGGCCCAATGACCCGTCAATGTCTTCCCCTGTACTCTACCAAATACCGAAATGACACCACTATAATATAATGACCAGAAAAATAATATATGGTTTAATAATCTAGGATATGTAGGACCGGACGATTTAGAATCATTTATCAACGTACATAAAATAACATTTTTACTTAACAAAACACACGTTTTGCCGTACAAAATTGATCTGAAAGAAAGACCCGCAAATGTTTTCTTTATTGGAACAGAGCAAACCGGAATTAGAGCAAAAGTGAAAAAAATATCATAGCGTTTTTAGAATATATTATAAATATCAATATTGGTTTAA